GAACGGGAGCCGAGGAGGAGAGAGGGGTGAGGGGAGGAGTAAAGGACATGAGAAAGGAAGCAGCGGAGATTTAAAGGTCTGCTGCACTAAAAGCCTGTAAGGAAGCGGTGCCAAACCTCATGTCCTGACTCACCTAACCACCCACACAGCACAGAGCCAGGCTGTGTAAGAGGAGCCGTCACTTCAGTCCAACTTCCCACTGTGTGTGTGTAGAGGTTAGGGTGGGGAATGCTAAGGATGGCTGGTAATTGAATAATGACAGTAACGCCTCTGATGGATTACCTGCCACTCCTCCCTCCTCCCTCCCTCCATCACTGTCAACCCCTCACCCCTCCGCTGCTCTCCACTCACAGTTGGTCAAATTGTCTCCCGTCCGTGCCATCACCCGTGTCAGGGAAGATAAAGACGCCCCCGAACACGAAAAATGACTCGGCTCCACTGGCTCAGTCCACACCACAGATTGCAATTTTGATGTAAATGTCACTTAGTGGCTCCATGGTGCAGCGGTTAGCGTGTCTGCCGCTCACGCAGAGAGTTCTGGGTTCAATTCCCAGCGGGACCACAGCGCCTCCTGTATTGGATTTTTAAATTTACTTTAAATGTGACCCATATTCATCCACGGATGTCGATAGCTGTAAGCAACATTTTTTCATATTGTATTAATGTTCATTTCCTTTGAGGCATTAATGAAAATTTAATCCTTGCTCTCCATTTTCATTCTGCTTTATGTAACTTTAGCCCTGCATTACTTTAATTTTAGTCTATGTCTAAAAGCATATTTGGTGCCTTTCAAATAATAACTCTGGTGCCAAAGTCTCTATGTGTTGAGTCATTATATCATAATGAGTCTATTATATCATATTCAGGCTCCCATCATGTCTCACTGGAACAAATCCACTCCTGGGACTGTGTCTCAGTGTGTGAGCGCCTAATATATATTCATATTACCTGTCACACGATGCATAAGTCGAAGGTTCGACGCTTCCCTTTTGGAAAAGGTTGCACAGCAGCAGGATACGGTGGCGGCTAATGTTCCGTCCTCAGGAACCTTATACGTCCACTCTGTCTGTTCCAGAGGCAGGTACAGTCTGTGACCTTTTACTGTAGAACGTGTTCCTAAGGTAAGTCACCGAGCGGGCGGACGGAGGAGGCTTCATTAAATATGCATCACCACGGACAGGGCTGCAAATCAGTGGGAGAAGAAGAAGTTGAAGTTAGAGCAAAACTCCCAGACCGACATCTTCTACTGCTGCAGCCAATCACAGCAGGGGTGGAGTCGCTACAGATTAACCTAATTCTGTGAGTTTTGGGACACACACACACACAAGGTTGAACACAAAAACTCCAGAAAGACCATTCATTACTATCAGAGATTAAACTAGTGTTCTTCATGTAAAGCAGGCGCACTAACCACTCCTCCACCACGTAGCCCCACCGTGTGGATATTAAAGGTTGAACTGAACAATTTACCTCAGAGCCAATGCACGGATTAGTTCCAGGTTCAGAGAGAGAGAGGAAGGACGTCAAAAGAACAGAGGAAGAATGACAAGAACATTCATAATGAATGCGTTAGTCACGTTCATTTTTGACACACGTTGTTAGACACGCAGAATGACAAATGGTTCAGATGTGGAAACGTTGATTCAACTCAATTAGTCATGATTATTCATGATTGATTATGATCATGAATAATCATGAATAATTGAGATTATTCCACAGCTGCCCTTTTTAATCAACCCAGAGCCTATTTCAAGTTTATACTTTCATGAACTGGTGTTGGACATCTAAGATTCTTGTTCACTTTTGATACGTATGAATTCTTCTTCTAACAAACGCTGCCTGTTTGTTTTCGTGGATGTGTGCGCTCGTGTGTAAACGTGTGCAGGTTTTGGGGTTAGGACTTCAGAAACTCCTGAAAACCTTTTCCATTGATCACTTTCTGTGACTGCTCCTCCTGCCCCCTCCTCTCCCTCCCAACCTCACCCCCCCTCCCCTCTTTGTTTATGCCGCCTACATTAAGGAGCAGAGATAACGCTAGGTTCCACTGCTGCTATTGACACCCTCTCCTCCTCCCCACCGCCCTCACAGCTGCAGGTGTGAGAGGCCGCTGTTGCAGCCAAATGAATTGTTGTACTTAGTGCAGTGCAGCAGAAAGGTCTGTGAGTCTGAGGAGGCAGAGCGATGGCCGCTCTCTGCTGCAGTGCTCTCCAATCTACAGTATCTGCTGGCTGCTAAATGGAGCCGCTCCATCACCGACACACACACTCTCTGTAAAGGATTGATGCTGTAAATCAGGTGGAGTGCTGCCAACCTGAGCGTTTGCAGTGTGAAGAGAAGGTAAAAAGGTCTCTCACTTTCTCACTCTCTCAGTGAGGCCCACCTGTGATAACAGCGCCTCCCAGATTCACCTGTTTACACCGAGCGTCCGACTTACCACCTGTGTCTGCAATTGTTCATGTGACCTAAAGATTTCATATTTGAATAACTTTGAACCATTCGTATAAGAAAAAAAACATACTGCAAATTGAACAGCTTTTTAAAAACAAAAATTGGAGGCAGTGGTGGCCTAGTGGTGAAGGAGGCGGACTTCGGTCCGGAAGGCCCCAGGTTCGAATTCACCAACTGCCAGGTTACCACTGAGATGCACTGAGCATGGCATGGCCTCAAGCACTGCTCCCCGGGCGCTGACCACGGCTGCCCACTGTTCACTTTGGTGATGGGTTAAATGCAGAGGGTAAATTTCGTTGTGCATGGTGTGCTGTGCTGTGCCACAATGACAAATAAAGATAAGTTTAAGTTTAAACACAGTTATGATTTTATTTTGAATGAAAAACATAAAATAAATTTAGTTTTTAAATAGACAAAATATAGCCATTTAAAAAACAACGACTTTGATTGTTTAGATCAAAGACAGAAGAGGCATTCCATTTTCTTTGATGACATTGATCTTTGCAAAAGGAGTGGATCAAAGGCAGCGGCTTTTTTTTTATTTAAACACTCATGTCTGTAATGGAATATTAGACATTTGAGGTTTATAAGAGGAACGAAGAACAACAGGAGAAGCAGAAGAAGACTGTGGTGGAAACAAACTGCTATTCATACCGAGAAAGATTGTTTCAATCGTTATTCACATCTAAAGAAAACCATGAACACCCTGCAGGAAGCACTGTTTAAGGCCATGGCTGAGATCAAGGCCCTGAAGGCTGAAAAGGGCTGTCTGCGTCAGGAGCTAGATGAGCTGAGGCAGGGCCAGGTCAAGGAGGAACTGGAGAAAACTAAAAGGACCTCCTCAAGAAGGAAACCAAAAGACGGCTAGTGAGGACCTACGCCTACATGGACTCACTGGCTGAGAACGCCAAACTGGTCCATGAGCTGAAGGCCAAAGAGGCTGAGAGGAGGCAGCAGCTGGAAGGTGCTGTGGAGACCATGAGGTTAATGCTACAGGAGAAGGAGACCATGTGGCCAACAAAGGTCCAGGAGCTGCACAGAGAGAACACACTAAGAGAGGAGAGCCCCCTAAAAAAGGAGGAGCAGTGGAAGCTCCAAGGCAAGTGTACTGAGGAGAAACTCAAAGTCCTCAGTGAGCAAGCCCTGTCCTTACAGACGTTAACCAGCAAACCACAGAACCAGAATCAGGAGGCGGCGGAGGCACTGAGGGAGCTCGGAGAGGAGGAGAAGAAGAAGAAGAAGAAGAAGGAGAAAGTGGAGATGTGGAGAGATGAAAACGAGGAGAAGGACAAAAAGAATGTTGCCAAATTATTGCTTTGTGAGGCTAATACCTGATTTTACTATATCTGTCTAATCTTTATTGATGTTTGGCTTATTTCAGCCAACTGTATGTCCAATTTTTTTTTATTATTATATATCTGTCAACTAATAGTATTAAGCCACATGTTGTCTGATTTAACTAAAGGTCACCATTCTTTTATAACCTTTGGACCATTTTTTTGTTTATTATGTGCTTGAAGCTATTTCTATTTTATTTCTGGTGAATTTTTGTTTGCTAATGGCTAGTTTTGCCTTACCTTCATCTTTGGGCAGACTTTGACTCCTTTGATCCTTAGCTAACTCAGATTAGCTGTTCTCACTGTTTTTTGTACATCTTTCCACTAACCCATGCTTTAACCTTCTTGACGTCTTAGCTCTATTGTTATATTTTGTTAACCACTTAGCTACTTTAAAATTCCGTAAGATTTTGGTTTACTTGTAGTTTTTCTTTTTTAATTGTGTAACTGAACATAACAAGTGACCTTGTTGGTCGAAAATGTTTGTCAATGTACGTTTACGAATAGAAATTGAATAAAGAGTGATGTTGATTCTGTAAATCTTAATCCCATTTAAAGGAAAACGGACTGTAAATCTGTTCCAACGTTAGTGTAAATCAATCATTTACTGTATGGTCTATTAATATGAAGAAACTTTTCTCTACTGCACCTGTTCTTAACTCTTCCCCTCCAATGACAAGCCATGAACACAGTCTACTTCTGACTGTTCATGAGAGACAGAGACAGAGGTGATAAGAGGAATAATTCATTTCCACGCAGCCCTATCGTGGAGCCGCTTCAGGATAATTAGAAGAGGGTGAGGAGAGGAAAGAGGATTATTTTTCTTTATCATCATTCGTTTAATTGGCTGAAAAGTAGAAGGGTTTGCAGCTCTACACAGAGAAGCAGCCAAGGACTATTTACACCCAGACAAACGTGCAACAAAATATAGCACCGGTGATACACACTATTATTCATTTAATTAGCACGTTAGCACATCTGCTGTGCTAGTTTGTATTTCTGTGGGATGAGGTGAACAACTGCAGTATGACTTTGAGAACATGAATTCACTCTTGAGTTTATGAGGAACCTGAGTCACGTAAAGAGTAACAGAGGTGATAATGATAGAAGTGAGAAATAGGAACACAATGTTGTAGTGAAACACTGCCCAAACAAATACTACACATCCATTTCACTAGGTTAATAAATCAAAATCTTGCTGTTGAGCTTAAATACTTCACATTCATTTCACTAGGTAAATAAATCAAAATCTTGCTGTTGAGCTTATTTAGTTGAAAAAACATTTACCTAAGAAATTTAGAGTTTAATGTTGCTCTGTTGGTTTGGGGCCGACATCAAGTGAAAACTACAATGGAGGTTTTTTTTTTTAACAAATGACATCAAACCTTCTCAGAATACACTCAGACTCCTGACTTGGTCCTTGGAATTCTGACCTTTTCCCCAGACCTAATCTTAGACCTTTTTTTAACTCCATATTAGCAGAGAAGAGTCATCAATTTTATTCATTTAAATATAAATCAGGAGTCTCTAATTTTTTTCCTTAGAATTCCGACCTTTTGATTACAATGAAGCCTTTATTTTCAGAATTTGAAAAGAAAAATAAAATCAAAACTTTTTCCATCTGCTAATCTTTGAAGATCATGAAAACATTTAAGGTCAAATCATGAAATAAACAACAATAAGAGAAGGTACAGCGTCTTTTAATAGACTTTTTCACATGCATATTATAAAGAAAATTCTAGAATATTAATTGAGATCGATTAAGATTTTCTTTTTTAGTCAAGGACAAAATCAAAGATTTGAATTTTGGAAGCACAGAGATTAGACTCTGGGTCAACATGACATGGGTCATGTGACAGATGTGTTTTGACAGGGCAGTGTATTACCACCGTACATGATGACCCCTGGTGTTTTTAAACAAGCTGGTGATTTTTTATTGTCTGCTGACAGTGACTAATAGTTGAAAGTCATTAAAGGTTTAAGTGATGTTCACACACCATTAGTCCATAGCACATTAATTCAGTTACACTCGTGATAATTATTACGTATTATTTCTACACACTGCCTGCGCTAATTTCTGCATGTAACAGCGACCTCTAACGCCCCCTACCACCAATCATATCACTGTCTCGCTACTGCACTGATTCTTTTAGGACGCACAGTTATTTCAATGCGTTCGATGAATTACTGTATATTTAAAAACCCAAATAGAAGCAGGAAATACAGGAAAGGGTTGAGGAGGAGGATTGAAGAGTTTGGGGGAGACAAGTATTGTTAGAGATGTGAAAATAACATTGTTTTTCTGGGAGAAAAGCTTCAGTCTGGGGTCAGTGGAGGAAACAGAGGCCAAAACAACAAACCTCTGTTTCTCAGTCACCTCACAGTACGGTGTAACAACACGCCGAGCTACACCGTACTTGACATGAGAAAGCAGTGATCCACAGTGGAAAGCTATACCAGCCATGGGAAAGCAGCAAACGCTCACACACACACACACACACACACACACACACAAATCGACACATTCCTACAGAACACACTAACAAACACCCGGTGTAATACACTGGATTAGATAGCTGCAGGCAAAAAAAAAAAAACACACTCACTCACCAAAACACACACACACACAGCTACTGAGTTTTCTAAGCTCAAAGTTAATAGCACCATGTTGTTCAGTGCCACAGACGGACCCTGTGAGGGAGTGTGTGTGTGTGTGTGGGGGGGGGGGCATATTATAAAAACACAACTTCTCTGAACACAAGGAGATGTTTCACATTATGACTTCAGGATGACGTGGCCGAGCAGGGACTGTGTGTAACAAACAGACATCAGCCATTAGTGACGTCCTGGGAGAACGGTTCCTGTGGTGCCAGATGTTACTCTGTATGAATGGAAGTCAATGACGAGAATGAATGCTTCTCTGTTCTACAGCAGGACCGCACAGTGTACGAGTGGTCACTGCCTCTGCCTTACAGCGGTCAGATTAGTGGTTTGAGTCTGGGTAGAAACTTTTTATATATATATATATATGAAATATGAGATGGAAAAATATATATGAATATATATATATATAAATGTACACACACGTATATTGTGTTGTTGTTGTTTTGTATTTGTAACATATACACTGTGTTTATTTATATGTATGTATATATATATGTATACATACATGTCTATATATGTATATGTATTTCCTATGTTTACTCATGCATTGTTACAGTTGGTATTTCCCATTTACGTGACAATAACATTCTGTTTAGTTTCCTTTTAGTTTTTGTTGCAGAAAAGAAGCTGACGTAAATTCAACAAAAGTCAAACTGGCATTAAACCTCCACGTCCTGAAAAGGATTCATTTTGATCATAATTTCCAGAAACCAGAAACTAATAATCAACCGTGTGAGTGTGTACGTTGTCTACCCAGATGGCCTCATGTTTACAATGACTTTCATCTACTAAGTTTGTTTCAAAAATCAATAAGCCATTCTGGACTTTTTTTCTTGGTCCTCACTTTGCAACCAGGTGGCCTTAATCCACTTGATATTTTTATACCTGTGTGAAAGTCAGTTTCTGAGGGCACTTTTAATGCTGCTTGTGTAATTCCACTGAATTGTCCTCATTAAAATGGCTCTGAAGTAAAAATACAAGAAGAAAAAAAACACGTAGTCAATACCATAACAACTACCACGAGCCATTATCCCGTTCTTATCCCTCTTTATTTCGTGCTATTCTTTCCTATTTAATACTCTCTCGCTCACACTCTCTCCCCCAGTGTCTCTTTAAAATGTTCAATTTAAGGGATGTTTCTGTTAACGATGTCCTGATCTGCCAGGTGAAGGAGATATCTCAGCGGGTTGGAGGAGGACAGGAGTGAAATAATGGAGAATTGGTGGTAAATGCTGGGAGAAAACAAACCCGAAGTGGAGGGAAAAGAGGCGGAGGGACGGCGAGACAGAGAGACGCAGATGGCAGGGAGGGAGGGCAGGATGGGAGGAAGGAGGGAGACAGAGGAATGATGATGCTCTGGAAGTCTTCCTCCTGTTCCATCAGCAGAAGCCTGGTG